ATATTTACTTATAATACAGCATTTCTTTAAAAACAATAGAGAAAGAACAACAACAATATAACAATTGACGTGCGATGTCGAAAAGAATGCTCTCTGTGTGATTTGGCAAGGGAACTCACCCTATTTAAGTTTCAAACATTGTGATAGTTGTTTCAGAATTATTATTAATTCGGTGGCCTAGTGGTTAGACTACCGGACTCGTAATCGTGAGGTTGCGGGTTCGGGGAATTCGAGCCACGGGCCCGACGTTGTGTCCTTGGGAAAGGCACTTTACACGAATTTTCCCCACTTCACCCAGGTGGGAATGGGTACCTAGCTATAGACAGTGAAAGATCTTGTCAGTTTGTTTGTGTTTGAGCGCTTAACCAGCTGCTTGCACTGCATGCTTCCCGGGAAGCTGAGATTGTTTCTGGGTGTTCTATGGTCTGCTGGGGTAACTATAGTGTACAGCGCCGAGAGCATGCTTTCGAGTGGGGACATGCGCTATACAAATGCAATTTATTATTATTATTTATTATTATTATATCATTTATTAATTTGTACTGGTGGAATCCCTATTGAAAAAATAACTTGTTTTTCTACGGAACGATTTTTCAGCCATTGGTAATCAAACATCTTTTATTTTATTTCAGCCTTACTGGGGAATTAGCGCTAGTTCGAACGTTCGTGTCCTCTCAACAATCAATTACACTACACTAATTTCCACTTAAAATCCAACTATCCTATTGAAGTCATTTTCTTATTAAGTACACTACTGGGTTAATCACTGCACAAAAACAGCACTGTTAAAAGTTGTAAATGATATTTCTGTGGAATCAAGAAAAATGAAACGCTCTATCCGCAGCTTTTGACACTATTGAACATAGAATTTTTCAGAATAGATTAGTAAAAATATTTGTAATTCATGATTCTGCTCTCAAATCTGTCCAGCACTGCCAATCTGTTGGGATAAAAGACATCAAATCACAAGAGGGCATGCTTTAGTTTGGTGTTCCCCAAGGTTCAGTTTTAGGCTTGGTACTATTTGCAATATATACACAGCCTGTTGCTCTCGAAATACAAAAGTACCAATTAAGCTACCACTTCCTGGCTGACGTCACAGATTTTTTATCCATGCGATATTAAGAAAGACCAAACAAAAATTAATGCATTGAAAAGCGAAAACAAATGTGTGGAAAATTAGTTCTGACTGGTGAAAGAAGCAGAAACCTTCCTATTTGGGAGTTTTAAAAACCTCAAAAATGTAAATAGAAGCCATTTAGAATCAAAGATTCAAATATATTCTTATTCTTTTCCAGCAAGGCCAAGGACCTTGGAAGACAAGTTTGTTTGTTTTTTCGTTTTGGCCCTATAACTTGGAACTCCTTGCACCAGGAACGCAGAGAAATGACAAATCCTATTCAGGTTTGGATTTGTCTTGTATATATACTTAAAAAGTTGATGCATGACCAGCTAAGAATGTTATTTTTTATGTGGTTGAATTGGTTTTCTTGTTTGCAGACTATGAAATGTTTTTACTCTCTGTAACCGTGGTTCACTCTCTAACCGTGTCATCGATATGAAACTCTCCGAGCTTAAACATGAATGACATTGAGTAAATCGATTATTATTATTATTGTTATTATTATTATTATTATTATTATTATTATTATTATTATTATTATTATTATTATTATTATCATCATTACTATTATTATTATTATTATTATTATTATTACTATTATTATTATCATTATACTGATTGCTGTTGTTATAATTATTATAATTGTTGTTTTTATTATCATTAATTATTATTAACATTACTACTATCATTATCATCGTTATTATTATAAATATAATCACTATTACTTTCCGTCTCAAAAATATCTAGAAACAGCTAAAAGTTTCTTTTCTGAACATGGAATGAAAACTGTCATCGGTACATTTGACATCAATAATATTTTAAGTTCCGTGTTTTCATCTATATTTCTAAGGATTGTTTTAAATTCTACATCTTTGGTCTCGGGTAAAGTGGTTTCAACGTATTGTGATGACTCCACTCGCCCAGGGACAAGGAGTTTTTTTGCAGGTCAACTGACAAGTCATGGTACTTATCATTCTGGATAAACGATACGGTTAAAAATTTAAAAAACGTGAAAAAATCCCCGGCATCCAAGAGATAAAAGTATGCTGAACAGGGTACGTACAACTCAAATCAACTTAAGTGCACTAATAATAAGAATATATTGAAAATACAGAAGTAGACACAAAAGCATAACCCCCAAATCAGCAAAAAAAATTATCTGTCTATTTGCCTGTGCCTACTTATCTTGACCCAGTAGTTTATGGACTAATACTAACAATGTCAGCACCATAGTATGAGACTTCGTGCGAACTTTCGGAACTTTCGGTGAAACTGTAAAATCGAATCCACTGTTAAACAAAGTTTGTGTTCCTCCACTTCTAGCAAATAAAATTTTAATAATTAATATTAATGACATGGAAGATCGAACAACAGCTGCAATCAACACCATCTTAGGAAAGTTTGGAAGAATTCTCACAATATATCTTCTTTCATGCCGTACATGCTGCCAGTGATGGCCACATTGGGCACTTATAAAATATGAAATAAAAACTTGAAGGTATTTACAACACATGTGTTCAGGCTTGAGTTTTCTACTGGCTTTTGTTTTTTTTAATATTGCATTTTGGCGTTTCTTTTTAAATCACTCTGTTTATTCAAATACAGGTACACGCACGCGCTTGCTTGCATGCACATACTCACATATCACTTTCTGATTTACAAGGTGTCTCCATCACGTCTGGACACTTATTACATTTTGCTTTGCATAGGCATTGATACAACTTTATAAGTTCAGTAGAGTAGGAAGGATACTTACCAAAGTGTCGGAAGGACGGCAGCAAGGACGCAGGAAAATTCCAAATAAGACGCCGTTTTATAGCTCAGTCAAGCTCAGTCAAGCACCCGTCTTTATCATGTTCAATCTATACAAACATGAGAATTATCAGTGACCACTCAACGCTGACCCCCGGTCTCCACAGCGACAGAGAACTAAAGGTATCACGAGTCATGACTCGGCGTTACTGTTGTATATTCATTTGTCCAAAGTCCATAATATAGTCCTATTAGATCACAATTGGGACAAAATAAGGATTCGGAAGAACATGGTTATCCCCCCCAAACCCTCACACTCCTCATCCCTTCCTTTGAATACTTTCCTGTCTTATAATCCCCTTGTCAAGTATTGAACGTATTCGAGGAAATTACAAGGTTCAAAGTTGAGTGAAACAGCCTTCCAACATGACCCAGTTTTCCCTCTATCTACGTCATTGCGAAATGTTGTTCAAAACACCCCTGCCAAGAGAGCTTTGTCTTATCTCTTCTGAAGAACAGAGGTCAATAGACGGGACTACTGGGGTGATATATTAATTGTACCCTGGCCAGTTTCACAAAAGTGAGGAATGACCAATTGAAGAGGTAGTCTGGTAAAAGATTTGCCACCAATAGTGAAGGACATTGTGATATGATGGCTTTTCAATAATCATTACGTTTGCACATCAGACGGCCACAGAAAGTTCGGAATAAATACTGTGGAGGAAGAGGAGGAGGAGGAGGAGGAGGAGGAGGAGGAGGAGGAGGAGGAGGAGGAGGAGGAGGAGGAGGAGGAGGAGGAGGAGCAGTAAAAGAAGAAGAAGAAGAAGAAGAAGAAGAAGAAGAAGAAGAAGAAGAAGAAGAAGAAGAAGAAGAAGAAGAAGAAGAAGAAGAAGAAGAAGAAGAAGAAGAAAAAGAACAAGAACAAGAACAAGAACAAGAACAAGTACAAGGACAAGAACAAGAACAAGAAGAAAAAGGAGGAGAAGAAGAATTTGTCCTAGTTCAAAGTCCTTTCAAACTTACCAAATATTCATACGCCAAACATATGCTTGACTGGTATTCCCACCTGGAAATGTTGTGAAGGACAACACTCTGTACCTTCGTGACCTCTGCATGTTTGTGTCACTAACATGTCCTATCGGACAACGGTCAGCCTGATATCATGCCTTGGCAAACAATTCTTAACCCATCATTCTGTAACTCAAGTTTCTGAAATTGAAATTGAGAACGTAATAAATTCCAACTTATGATACCAAACTCAGTATTACTTTCTTAGTCAGATGTGTCGTGATAGTTCATTTAGAAGGGAACTATTATAAAAACACCAAACAGCAAACGCTTCTCAAGGCATTTTCAAATCCGTGCCTTCATAACTAACTCACTCTCTCGTGAAATATGGGCATGCCAACTGTAGATACCATTCAACAGTCTATTATAGTCTTGAATACTGTCAACGGTTACGTAAACACTATACGATGCTGCCCTAATAACTGTAAAGTTCTAGCAGCCATGCACATGTATCTATATATTTTTGAAGTTTTGACATTTATGAGCAAAACTGTTGAAAGATAATTCCGTAAAATGAAAAAATGTTAAATTCTGTCTGCCTGTCTTTCCCTTTCTTTCTCTTTGTCTGTCTCTTGCACACCCCCCCCCCTCTCTCTCTCTCTCTCTCTCTCTCTCTCTCTCTCTCTCTCTCTCTCTCTCTCTCCCTCTCTCTCTCTCTCTCTCTCTCTCTCTCTCTCTCTCTCTCTCTCTCTCTCTCTCTCTCACTGTTGCTCTTTCTCTTTGTCGTACTGTCTCTTTTTCAAACACACACACACACACACACGCACACAAACACACTCTCTCTCTCTCTCTCTCTCTCTCTCCCGCTCTCTCTCTCTCTCTCTCTCTCTCTCTCTCTCTCTCCCTCTTTCTCTTTTTCTCTCTTTCTCACTGTGGGTCTTTCTCTTTGTCGTACTGTCTCTTTTTCAAACACACACACACACACACACGCACACAAACACACACACACACACACAGATACACACACACACAAACACACACACACATACACATACACACACACACACGCTCGCGCGCACGCGCGCTCGCACATTCACATAAACGGGAGTTTGCTTGCCAGTGTAGAATTTCTCAACACGATATGTTAATTATTTTTAGTCGTTCAATTCTTTTTCATTTAAATACTCTTGGTTAATGCGTGTTCTGTTTCGTTGGAGAATTAATGCGTGTTTAGTAGCCTACCTTTGCCATTTTACTAAAGGCTGGTGGTTGTAGCTTTAAAAAATATATATATATATATATATATATATATATATATATATATATATATATATATATATATATATATATATATATATATATATATATAAGAGTTATTACGCCCTCATCGACACAAGTATTCAGATCCTGTTTGTCAGGGCTATCCTGGGCTGACAGAGATACAAAATCCCAGCAAAAGACCGAGAATCTCGATAACATTTTGCCCCACTCGGAAATCGAACTCAAGTCTCCTGTGTGCGACAGCGAAGCACCTAACTGCTACACCACAGAGCCGGTAATGAGAGTTTGGATACATGTATCTTCAGGGGCTCAACAAAAGCATGAGTATTGTTCCAAAAGTAAGATGAACGTCGTCACCGATCTAACAATATTTCATGGAGCTTGATAAAACTGACACATTATCATCATCATCATCCGGTGCCTTGCCGACTGGCGTGGGCGATCATGGACCTCCACTTCACTCTGTCTTGCGTTGCAGCAATGGTGTATGTTGTTCTTGTTGCTTTTCAGTACTCTTTTTCTCGTTTCCAGTGACAGATTGATGTTTGTTAGTATCTGTTTCATCTTGTGGAAGGTTACTTTTGCTTGGAAGATTCGGCTTTTAATTTCGGTGTGACATCTACCATCTGATGATAAGATGGTCCCCAAATATTTAAAATGCTGTGCTTGCTTGAGGGTGGTATCATTGATTTTGATATTGCATGTTGGGGTTGGAGTTTTTCTGCTTATCACCATTGTTTCGGTTTTCTTGATGTTTAGGCTTAAGCCCATGTTGACACATTATACAGTAACGCAATTTCATTTTCATAGAAATCAACGAAACGTTCGAGCGGTTCGTCAAAGAATACATCCCCTCCTTGAAAAAAAAAAGACCAGAGAGGCACCACTCTTTTACTGTTCTTCTGTTGCTCCTGCCGTCTGTCTTGTCTTTTCTCTTCCCTAAATAACAACAACGTGGTAATGTGATTCTGATTTACTTTACTCAAACGAAAACAAAAACAGATAAATGTCAATGTCACTGGTAAATCCCCGTTCGTACCCGGCTAATTACAAGAGGAAAGCTCTGTTGGTACCATAAAGACAGCGCCCATCCAAATCGACAATTAAGATAAGTGAATTTGTCTTAAAATGAGCTTCGTGGTCTTTCCCACTCCTACCCAAACCCATCAGAAAGGAAAGCTAAAGTGGAGGCTCCTACCAGTGTTGATTGGGGCATTAAATAAGTTATATTATAACCAGATCTAACAATCCCCCAGGAAAACATTCCTTAAATCATTGCGAATGAGCAACATTTAAATCCAAATGGGGTCGGAAGTGTTCCTCTCACTCTTCCTTTTCCCTTTTTGCTTGTAAGGAATCACATGCAAAGTCCCCGACATTACCAGCGCTGAGACTAGTTAATTAAGTGTTTCAACTTTCAACAACCACACAAATAACAAACAAAAAAAGACCCAACCGTAACGACAACAACACCACCAGCAGCAACAGTAATAAAACAAGAATATGGAACTGTTATAACAAGAGAAACTTTATGAATTTTTAATCACCAAGCACCGAACAGAACTAAAATATGGACAACATAACTGACTCACTGTGCTTTCTGAGATTCGAGTTTTCCTTAAGTTATTATCGTACACAGAACAGAGGATTAAAGAAGTCAGCACCAACGAAATGATTTTATTATTTATAAAGGGACAGCAGGCAAGACAGGAAGAGAATGATTGAGATAGACAGACAGACAGACAGGCAGGCACACAGAGAGACAGATAGACAGACAGACAGAGAAAGAAAAGACAGACAGACAGACTGAGAGAGTGACTGAGCGAGGGAAAGATGTGAGGGAGAGAGAAAAGGTGCAGAGACAGAAAGAGATGATGATATAATATGGTCTATAAAGGGACAGCTGTCAAGAGAATAAGAGAGAGAGAGAGAGAGAGAGAGAGAGAGAGAGAGAGAGAGAGAGAGAGAGAGAGAGAAAGGGTGAGGATAAGAGAGAAAGAGAGAGAGGGAGGGGGAGACAAAAGGGAACAGGAGAATGTGACGAAAAGACTATCTTAAATATAGTATATTCATGGGGGATACATATGAAGAAGTAAGTGGCATACTGCCTTAGAGAGATAGATGAAACAATGAGATAGATAGATAGATAGATAGATAGATAGATAGATAGATAGATAGATAGATAGATAGATAAATAGATAGATAGATAGATAGATAGATAGATAGATAGATAGATAGATAGATAGATAGATAGATAGATAGATAGATAAATAGATAGATAGATAGATTTGGCTTCAAGCCAAAATACATCGTTAAGAAAAATCAAAGCTTATATTTTTACGGGAACGTTTGAGAGAGTATGAAATAAAATTGAACATTAGCTGTGAGTTCACGACTCGGAAAAAGACAACATTTCCTTAAGTTTACCAATTATTGCTGTGTGGATTTTTCTGAAAAATGTTGAATTAAGATACACAAATGAAAATTTGCAGTTTCTAGGGACTCTCAAGCTTTGGGAGTCGTCAAACTTTGGCGCCATTTTCTCACTAATTTTACCTTTGAAATCAGGCGACCCCCACCTCCTTCAAACGCAAATATCTCAACTTCTGTTCACGATAGATGAGTATTTTTTTCACCGAAAGCAAGACTAATGAGCAAGCTTTAAAATGATATAAACAACTCTACAATTCCAAAAATCGACAAGCGCCTAATTTCACCACGATGCCTTACATAGATATATATCTCGGTTTATAAAGTTTCTTTATATTATTATTGTTGTGACACAATATTAAAGTAAATGAGTCACAGAGCTTTAGCATAATTTAACTGTTTTGATAGTCGTGATAACTTTTTTGTAAAAGTTTTCAGATATTCAAAACTAACACTGTCGAATTCATCTTTGACTCACGTGATCCCCCCTCCGCACTCTCTTTCACTCTAATACTTTTGGGGCTCTCTCTCTCCCTCTCTCTCCCTCTCTCTCCCTCTCTCTCTCTCTCTCTCTCTCTCTCTCTCTCTCTCTCTCTCTCTCTTTCTTTCTTTATGTGACTCTAGTATGCCACCCACTCTTTGAATAAATACCCATTCTAACTGTGGTGACAAGGAAAGACATTGAAATAATAAAATACTTTACCTGAGCACAATTAAAATTGCTTTGCCCAGATACCGAATGTATTGGTGGAAATATTTAATATCTATTGGTCGAAAAGTACCCCAGAATTACACCCTTCGTGATACAAATTTTTAAAAAGAAGACAAGATCAAAGAAATAAATGTTAACAACCCCAAGCAATTAAACTTGTTGTGTTTCCACATGTGTCATACTAAGTACCATAAAACAAATATAATTAGTTGATATACTTTGAGCCCTTGTGATTGATGGAGACAACTCAACAATTGTTTCTGATATAGCCTGAAAAGGGCTTAAACTGAGAGACACAGTCATATACTTTTTCAGAGTGCATGTTTTAAGCAGTTTTCCACACCATTCATGCACTCAAAATGAAAACTCAACGTTGTGTTTTAAAGAAAACGAATCTTATGAGAACAATAATTTGGTGAGTACATTTAAGCGCATGGAAATCAGTCATTCTTTTTTCGTTTCTACATTGTACTCAAATGGGCAGTCTTTTTTATGTACGTCAACAATATTACAGCGATTTTGATCCTCCTGGGTATTCAGAATAATACGTTTTCCACCTGCAATTATTCAGCTAATATCTTACATTTATTGTTTGCAACCTCTGTCTTTCTAAGGCCGTTCTAAACAATCTTTCCTCCATCAAACAACCACATATTGTTAAAATCATAGACTTGAATTATAATATTCTAGACCAGGCACTGTCATGGCTGACGCTCTTTGTGTTCTATAAAAGTTAATAGGACTCGCTTTGTCGAGTTCGCCCGTAAATTTCCCCTCCTTGCCTGCCATTTGCTTCAAACAGAGTCAAATGGCACGCTTCATGGTAAACTGGAATTATGTCATAGTGCGCAGTCTTGGATATTATAACACAAATCTATGTTCAAAACACAAATCCTTTCTCCTTCATAAATTCATACGCCTTCACTTCTATCTTGGACTTGGGAGCGTCCGGTAATCTTTTCCTGGGTCTCACGTGGAGAGACTCAATGTTCGCTACGATTTCTGGAATGTCGCCTGACGTCTTGTTTCTGGTCAAAGGGCACAGTGAACGTTCCAAAACTGTAAATCTTGGGTCTGTAGTCAACGTCTCCGCTGGCATCCCGTAGCGTCCAGATTCGCTTTTCGTTGTTTGAGGACGCGCAGTGGACTCTGCGTCTGAAGCAGCCATTGCGTCGGTAGATCTTGGCGTGTTAGCTCCGCTGATGTTGTGGGGTTTTGTTTCTGCTTTGTTTGTGGCGTCCTGGTCCTGTTTTTGCCGCATCCACGGAGGCCGAGAGAGAGCGCTAGACCTAACGTTAGTCTCGCTTGGCTTGGGCTCGGGCGTTGGCTGACTCAAACCTTTACTGGCGTCCATAATTGGGACACTGGTTGCTCTAGTTAAAGGAGTTCGAGCCCCAGAGGTGGTGGGGACATCTTCCCGTCTCTGTTTTGCAACAACAATGGCGGTTCTAGCAGAAGAAGAGGGGTCTTCCCCTGGTGGGAGAGTAGGTTTGACGTCCAGTTTCTTGGGCCTCACTCCTTCCGATGAATTCAGTTTCGATATCACACTTACGTCAGTTTCATTTACAACTTCGGTCTTTTTTCCCCTCGACTTCTTTTTTGTGATATCAAGTCTGTCCAGCAGAGAGAAACGGGCATTTTTTGGCCCCGTTTTCGGCTGTGTTGTGCTGACAAGTCCCATGGAAGTACGGCGACCATCAGATATAGCCGTGATTTCATCGCTTACAGATTTCTGACGTCCATCTGCAGAAGCGGACGAAATTCTTCTGAGTCCTGACTTCCTCTGCTGTCTGTCCTGAAATACTTTTTTCTCGTAAGTGTTCTGAGACAAAAATTTGTATCTCTCCTTGGAGAGCTCCCACAGCTTCGCTTTAAGCATGCGTTCTTCAGTCACGTTATCTGTAAGTTGCCCTGACATTCGAGACGTTTCAGGAACAGGAAAAGTTTCATTGTCTTTCCTTACCCAAGCCTCTATTTCTTTCATGGCGTTGGTTCGATTTTTGACGAATTTTGACTTGAGACGTGCAGGGGCGCTTTTTGGTTTTGGATGATGCATTGTGCAATTTCAATCACGCCACGTTCACTGAAGGATGTTTTATTTTGGGTTTTTTAAATCAGATTAAAAGGCTACATCTCCTTGAAGCGGCACATTCCCCGTGACAGGGTATTGACTCTATGCAAATCTTGCCAACTGTCACTTAGAAACTCTGGCAGAAATAAACGACGAAAAAAAAAATAACACAGAAAAATTCAGATCCCAAAGAGCGCAGTGACGTTCAAACTAAAGGTACTCTTGTTCTCTGTGAAGATAGGTACTTGTGTTTCTGTGTACACGGGTTTTCCTGAAAAGAAAAGAAATTGCGCAATTAGACCTAGACGATAGAACTGAATTACAGGTGATGAAGATAATACGAAATTACTTTTTTTAAATATTAAAACAAACTCATTTACTGTTCCCCTCGTTCAAAAACTTATTTTTCGGTGTCTCTATCATTTTCCCCTCACTTTCTTTTCCTTGGAATCCCTTTTTTTCTCTCAGCACCACCCTCTCGTTTCCATTCCGATTTCTAAAATGTTCTATATTTTTGTACTGACTAGACTGTTTTCAGTTTTGAAAGTAATGAACTTTGAGTTTGTCCCTAGTGGCAGCCGAAGCCAACTCATACTGATTTTTTGAAACACCAAGGTGTCTATAACAAGCACAACTTTCAAATGGGATTTCCGAGAGTTTTCACCCTTTTCTGTGAAGGCTAGTTGTTCCATCTCACCTGCCCTGGGATCAGGAGTGTGGCTAAAAGACAGCAGTAAGGAACCAAGAGTAGCAGTAGAAAGTTGGGAGAAGGGGGGGGGAGAGCAGGTTGAGAGGAAAGCATGACAGAACAGGACAAGAGAACGAGCGAGGAGAACAAAAAAGAACACATTAGAGAAGAATTTATTTGTCCCTAGAGGGTTTCAATCCAAAATACTTGCCCGAGAGACGAACACAGTACCTCTTAGACCACGAGAGCCTCTTTACTACTACTACTACTACTACTACTACTACTACTACTACTACTACTACTACTACTTCTACTACTACTACTACTACTACTACTACTACTACTACTACTACTACTACTACTACTACTACTACTACCTACTACTACTACTACTACTATTACTGCTGCTACTGCTACTACTACTGCTGCTGCTGCTGCTGCTGATGCTGCTGCTGCTGCTGCTGCTGCTGCTGCTGCTGCTGCTGCTGTTGCTGCTGCTGCTGCTGCTGCTACTACTACTACTACTACTAATAATAATAATAATAATAATAATATAATAATAATAATAGTAATAATAATAATAACAATAATAATAATAATAATAATAATAATAATAATAATAATAATAATAATAATAATAATAATAATAATAATAATAATAATAATAATAATAATAATAATGAAAATGAAATCAATATTGTACTCTTTCACTGCATGTTACTACTTATCATAAAGCTGATACACGCAGCGTTTATACGATAAAAGAAAAAAAAGCAAACCAAACAAACAAACAAACAAGCAAACAAACAAAAACAACAAAAAAGCAAGAATTAACATCAGTCTTTGCCCACACTAGATTATACGGTCATTTTGATTGTAAACATCATTCATTCGTTTAGAAATAATATCAACATTTTAAGATTAGTTAAAAGTTAGGCAAAAGACGAGATTTGATTCCCCCGTGGATACAATATGCCAGGGTGACTAGCTTGACCCTGACAGGCAGTGTTCAAGGGCACTCCACCACCTAAGGAATCTAGGTTTTTGTGTGTTCTATAGTGTTGATAGTGTATGTAAATTATGTTATTATTCGGGTAATTTTTATGCCTATCAATACTTTAATTGTGACACTTCAAAGATCATATTAAATTGAAAACTCAAAATTTCAGTACAGGAAGAGAATTATTTTAGAATGTTCTAGTATTACTATCACGCTGCATTTTTTTATACAGCGAGCGAACATAACTATTAAAGCATCATTTTGAAAAAAAAATTTGTTATTGTATCTGCTGTAAGTTCTTACCCTATGTCGCCCTTTATTACTCAACAAGCTGTATGTATGTGTTGTCGTCCAGTATAAGAAATGCTAAGAAATGCTTGACCACACAAAGCAGACCATCGCACTATAACAGCCGTCTCCAGCGAGTTTGTGTTTTAGCCTGTCACCAGCAATAGAACAGAAATGCACTCGCTCCGTCTTCCTCAACATTCAGCCAAACAATATTTACCTAGCACTTGTCTATTTGCAGCTCAAGGAGTTTGCTACTTAACAGACTAGCCAATGTCATTAGCTGGGTAATCGGGTGCCACAGCCTGTCCTCAATGGATTGCTACTAAACAAATACAGCTCATGGATACCCCCTTGTTGTTCCAACGCAAATCCATCGACCGGTTCCAAATCTGTAAATCCAATCGCAGACACACGCAAAGGCAAGCAGCAAGTGCGGCAAAAGACCGATTTCTTCTTTTGAGAACAAAAGCCTCTCGCTCCGTTAAGTCTTGGCTTCTGATCCGGACGGGAAGTCTTTGTTACGTTTTTTATTCTTCACCTGGCCCTTTTGTTCTGATATGGTTTTGTTGTACTAACGGTGTGCTCGAATAACCCTAGGACTTTGACTTGAAGCCTTGTTGTGTCCTCGAATTGCTAGGCTAACAACAATGCTAATTGATTAACAATTTTTAAATAGTGTGCACTAAGTTAGCGCATTAGTAGATCAGTCAGTTAGGTAGTACGTCAGTATGTTTGTTAATGAGTTAGTTAGTGCGGTTGGGAGGTTGCTGCGAGATAGGTTGTTACCTATTCCTCCTTTAGCCTATAATAGATTTCTTAAAACTCATACTTTCAACTGAATTACTTTTCGATTTTTGCTGTAAACGAAGTTTTAATGTATACAAGAGTGTTTGTCTCTTATGATTGTACTTTACAGAAAGGCAGTTTACTTTTGGCTTCGGAAGTTAAGAGAGTGGAATCTATGCAACTCAATACGAGGGCTTGTTTGTCTGTGGGGGGGGGGGTTAAATTTATAACACAAACGTGTTAACAGGGGGTCTTATCTTTTATTTAAGATTCTACAATCGTTTTGAACGGGCGTCACTGTCAAACTTAATACCAGAACTTCTTCAAGTGTTCAATGGATTGAGGTGTACGGAGCGTTAGCTCGTCTTTTTATGAGCATTATGAACAACGAGATCCGTCGTGTGCTTCCTGCCAACAGAAGCCGTGTTGCGTGACTCCAGGTCGTTGAGAATGTATCAGAGTTGAACAAGAAGGAAAAATGTAATTTGATTTACTCCAAAAACCAACCGCATAAGTCTTGCGAAGAGGGAAGGATATGCCAAAAATGTAGGCTTTCCTTTAGTCTGACCTACATAGGATTTAAAAAGAAACCTGATCTTCGTGTAATTAGGTAAAGTATACAGTGAGACAGTAGGACTGTCTACCCTTACACGCCTCAAAATAGCACAATACCTTATTACAATAGGCTGTGTTGTATACAATGAACAAGCCAGGGGTCCAGAGATCTTTACGGCGGTATTACAAGTTAATTTTTTGATTGACAGGTTAATTACTGATGTCGCGCCATAAGAATATTAATTAGATGAACTCAAAACGCCTCCAGTGATTAAATGTATGTCTGTGTGAACAGCAGAATGCCACATTTGTAACGAAAGAAAAGTTGGCAGGAAAATGAAGGGTCGAGGTGAAAAGGACACAGCAGATGAGACAATACTTTCAAAATTTAGATAATCGCCTTGGTAAGACTTTAAGATTGAAAAGGGAATTGCACAGCACAATGATTGCAAAATTAAGGAGGGGAGGGGGAATTGCAGGCACATGATGTGTGAGTGTATATTATGTATATATGTGTGTGGGTGTATGTGAGCAAAGTTGTATGTACGTCTGCAAATGTGCGTGCATGTGGGTGAATATGTGGGAATGTGTGTGTGTGTGTGTGTGTGTGTGTGTGTGTGTGTGTGTGTGTTTGTGTGTGTGCGTTTGTGTTCGTGTGGTCACGCGCGCGCTACAAAAAGACTTTTTGTTTTAGTAAGGTTTTACAGCGCTCGCAACTGCATAAAGTCATATGAACGCCAAGGGTGGAGGTCAAAATTAACAGTTAAGTCCAAACGGGGAATCAGGCTTACTCTGCTCACCTCTCTTGCCTTAACAGTACAAAGTCTGCTTCGAATATCACGGCACCCCGGAAATAGCAGTTCACAAGAGTGACAAACATACAAAAGAAGTAGAGGACAAAAAGGATGATAGTAAGGATAAAGAAAGAAAAAGCAGCAGTGTACACAGAAATAAAACAAAACAAAAAGCGAAGAGAAAAAAAACACAGATCAAAAAGGGCTCTTTTCGACCAATGTTCAGAGAAAATGAAATACGACTTGTATGATGGCCCTTCTAGGCGTTGCGTTTATAATAACAATTCAGCACTTGAAAACAAAGTCAATTTCTTATTCGTTTTAACGAGAGAAATAACCTGTTAAAAGAGAAGCCCGGATTGGGGTGAGATATGGGTGGGGAAGGAGTGGGGTAGGTAGAAAAACAAACGGAACGAAAACAGTATTCATAATATACATCATCTATAGTAATCAAGACTCCTGCTTAGAAATTCTGTATTCTTTTTGGTGAGATTCAGTCAGCCATGAAACTCTCAGAGGCGACAAAATTAGTTTTTCTTAGTGAGTGTCAAATAGCAAAGTGTCAATATTTGTCTCTCTGTTTATTCAGAGGTAGATCAAATGGCTATATAAGTCTCGCGCACGACAACAGGGCTTAATCCGCTCTTTATGAGGGAGGATTAGTCTTAGATTTGTTTTATTGTTTATCCTGATCACATACAGCGACTCTCAACCAAGCCTCGAGACGCCCGTTTCAACGGGTTTCTGGTCAGAGCATTGTTTCTGTTCCCGTTTGTTGGCGCATTAGGCTGGCATTAGACTGCTTTTAGAATCTACCTGTGTTTCGATGTAATATTATGTACTCCACTTATTGTTTTTGGAGCAGTCATTCTGCCCATCAGGCTTATCTCTCTCCTTCCCCCC